CATGTTCCTTCATTGCTTTGATGATGCACCTTGGAAAAAAGCTGCTTTAAATCGGAGTATTACTGCTCAAATCATCGCAGATATTAATGAGCTAGCTATTTTAACGACGCCTATAACTCCCGGACACTTAGCCTAATGGGTAATCTCACTCTGTGTATCTGAGTATACAAATATCAACACAAATAGTACATCTCCTGATTTGTCAAATTTATGAAGTTTATTTCACTGTTTGTCATTTTTGTGCAATCCGTTATAAGTCCACAACCTTATAAATGGATCATACACAGACTAATGTGGTAAGACAATACATTTTTAATCTCCATCATGTTATTGACATCACAAAAATAACCTCTGTCTGTCCACTTCATCCTTTTTGTTCAATAACTAAAAGCACGACCGAGTGTATAAGAATTTTTCTCCTATTCATGTCTCAGTGTTATTAATGGGTTATTAATAGAAGGTGGGTACAGCTTACAAGAGTATGTTCCTCATTTTTCCTCACCTTTTTATCTACAGTGCTGCATCTGAAACCTATTTTAATAGAATGTCACATGTAAAATAATGCATGTTTAAACTTTATTGATAACATTAATTGTTTTTAATACAATTTTTAGTGTTTTGATCTAAACAAAACATCAACTGACAACAGAAAAGCGAATTCATCCTCGGTGAATTACAGGTTTAGTTCCCTAAAATTTAGAGAGAAAAAATAAAATAAAATATATATTAGTAAATACCATATTTATCTTTAACATGGCCCGCCACAAGTGAATAGGATATACATCGGCATTGTTAGGTTTAGTGAACATTTTACACACTTTTGTAGAAAGTTAGCAAATCTGCCAAAAAAATAGCGCTGCGTCGTATGCCCAAGCTGGCATTCAAAATCTAGGTACTCCATTTTCTAAAAATGCATATTATGCAAGCTTGTTGTTAGATTAATTTAGAAATTCAATAGTATGCAACTGAGAGCTTCGTCAATCTGGCAAATTTTCACTGACACAAGGTCAAGCAGCTATCCAATCAAAGACGTGTATTTATGCATAGGGTCATTCATGGCACTCGTATATAATAGTAATAATGACATTTCTAAGTTTTGAGTTGACTGAGGAATTTTTTTTATCTATATGCTTTTAAGCACTTATTTTCTTACCACATGCCTGTAATTAAGTTTACTGTAAATGCATTAATTATTCACGGGGTTTTAATTTTGCTAATTTTGCTGATAGGTAATTCAAATGAACATGTAAAATAACCATGGAGCTCACTTGTAAATTTGTGAACATAAAACCCAGTGAAACTAAATATTGCTAATTTTGCTGATAGGTAATTCAAATGAACATGTAAAATAACCATGGAGCTCACTTGTAAATTTGTGAACATAAAACCCAGTGAAACTAAATAGTGAAATTAACATTGTGAAGGATTACTGTAAAGTGGTTAATTATTCACTGGGTTTCAATTTTGCTTATTTCGCTGACTGGAAAATGCGCTAAATTAAAACCCAGTGATTATGTATGATTATGCATAGAACACATTATCTCAATGATAAAACCGTGAATTTAAACCAACTGAATATGCCTGAAATGGTAAATCAGCGAAATTTAAACCCAGTGAAAATTAGTCATTTTACAGTAATAGAGACTTCAAATTAAAGGAGTCTTTGGTATGCCAAATTCTTTTAGTAGGTAACTCCTGTACGAGAAAGTCGGTCTGTGTTGACAACAGACGCCAACATGCAAACAGATTTTTGTTAAAAAAAAAAAGCCAAGGCGATCTTTCAAATAAATACGCCAATATGAATTCTTATCCCTAACAAGAGAAGGGTTGATAGCGCCCTCAAGGATCTACTTGTATGGTTGCAGGGAGCCACCTGAAGAGGGTGTGTTCCATAAGCAGTCTTTAAAATTTTCTGATTTCAAGAATTCCTAGTTCTAACATAGCCCCAAAAATGGGCCTATCTGAGTTTGTGATGCGTGGAAAGCACATTTACTAACACACTGAACGATATTTTATTTTTTTTATTATTAAAAAGACCTATTAAATTTCTGGAAAATAATAGTTTTGCTATAGTATGATCGTTTGTGATGTCATCTTGAATAACACAAGTGTCTGATAAGATAAGATGTGTGGGGTAGAATGTTTTACAACAGTAATCTTCATGAAACAAACTTGAATTTTGCAAAATGACATTTGGAATGGTGGTTATCTTCTTGGTTTCCTGTTTAATTTCTAGGAAACGCCGGATACAACAACAAGAAGAAGAAAGAAGGCGCCAAGAAGAACAAGATCGACTACAAAGGTTGGAGGAAGAACGGAGACAAGCGAATGAACGTCGGAGAATAGAGGAGGAGAACCAACAGAAACGTCTCCGTGAAGAGGAAGAAAGGAGGAGAAGGAAGCTTGAAGAGGAAGAAAGGAGAAGAAGGAAGCTTGAAGAGGAAGAAAGGAGAAGGCAGCTTGAAGAGGAAGAGATGAAACAGAGACTTGAAGATGCTGAGAGACAAGCCAGAGAACGGTTACGAGATCAGGAAGAAGAGCGAATACAGAGGGAACGAGAGGATCTGGAGCGACAAAGAGCTGCTTTAGAGAGGCTACAGGAAGAACAGCGGGAGCGAGAGCGACGAGAGCAGGAGAGGAGAGCACGGGAAGAGATGGAACAACGCCAACAGGAATTGGAAGATCAGATAAGAGAAGAAGAGGAAAGAAAGCAACAAGAAGAAGAAAGGAGAAAAGAATTACAGGAGGTAAAAACTAAATATGCTAATTTTATTAATTTTCTGTATTTTTTTGCCTTTTTCTTTATATTATTTTTTTTAGTGTAGCGTTGCATCCTGGTTTCGAGAAAAAAAAGATGGGATTCAGAGCAAAAATGAGCATAAACAACATTTTAAGATGAAAAATATAAAGATTGCTAGGTCCACAATACAATGGTTACTGGGCAACAGTGTAAAGTTGACAGTGGTTGCTAGGTGATAGAACAAAAGTAGACTATGATTACTAGGTAACAGCACAAATTCACCAGTACTGTTCTTGTCTAAATAGAACTTGTACTCATGTGAGGTTTTTGTATCTCTTTAGAAACAACAAAAGTCATTTGTATCATCATCATCACCACTAATGCGAGTTCCCGAGGTGAGACGTAGTCGAGATACTGAGTCGGCTAAAGAGAGAGATCTAGAGGAAAGTGAGTAAAACATTTATCAATATCGTCAAGCTGGGAAATATAAAAAACATATCAGTGTTTGTTGATAAGTAGTTACTTGAGATAAGATTGTCTGTTTAAAATCTTAAATCCACGAAGGCCACAAGTCTTCAGTAATTCTGTAGTCTGTAGTAATTTACCCACAATGCAATGGATATTATTATTATTTTTACAGAAGAGCGCTTACTAGATGAATTACAAAGAGCACGAGATGAACGACAAGAAATGGAAAGAGATCGAGAGGAGCTGGTACGAAGAGCAAAGTCATTGCAGAGTAAAACGCAACATAAACGAAACCAAGGTCAGAATTTTGCTTACTGTTTGTAACTAATTAATAATGTCAAAGTGACTCACTACGCTCAGTAATTATCTCCCATCAAATATGCTAATTTCCCCCACCACTTTGCTCAGTAATTATCTCCCATCAAATATGCTAATTTCCCCCACCACTTCGCTCAGTAATTATCTCCCATCACATAGGCTAATTTCCTCCAATAAGATCTGCTATCAAATACACTTGCTTGTCGTTTATACCTACTAGTTCTTAAACTTCATACTGGCAAGCCATGATTATGCGACTCCGACTCTGATGAAAATATGATTTCATGTTGAGTTAACTGAGTTAACTGATGTCCCACACCCCAGTTTAAATACTGTGATAGAAGGGTATTTTTAAAATTTGTTGCCGAGTATTACATAACTACATCATACTTGGATTGAACTATTCTATTCATGGATCACGGCCGTTTAAAGATGGATTTTGTTCAAACTTTATTATGGGACCTCTATTCTCGTCATTTTGTTTTATCAGATCGGATTCATAATGGCCGAATGGTGGCCATTTTGTTTTATTGAATGTGGTTCTAGAGCCATATTTCTGACATGCTTAGACTGATTATGTTCAAATTTTAAATATTCATTATACATCATGTCATAGATATACAGATGTATTGGTTTGACGATCCCATTCAAAATGGCCGACCAGTGTTTTGTTTTAATTATTGCTGTTCCAGAACAATATATCTCTCAATATGAACAAGTACTCATTTGACGATCAGATACAAGATGCCTGAATGTCAATCATTTTAATTCATGGCTGGTTTACCACAAAGCTCATGAACTGTAAATCAAATCCATGTAAAAAACAGTGTCTGTCTTGCACAATAAAAGTTTGTTAAATATATTTGGGGGGAGGGGGTTATATACAAGGAAATCGTGTGCATGGAAAATTGGGTGGTTCTATTCTTTTTGAATATCATGTTAGCAGTGTCAATAACATGTATTATATTGTTAATACTACAGCAAGGGACTTATGGAAAAAGAAATACTTTGAAGAGAAAAAGAAGACTCCTCCACTCGAGGAAGAAGTCATGAAACTTAGGCATTCATTAGATACGCAACATAAAAAGTTAGTCAATCAACTCGAGGGCAAAGATGGCAAGAGGAAAAATCTTTACACTAATCCATCAGAAAAGGTAATGAACATCTCTGAGTGGAAGAGGTTGTGGGGGCAGAAGAGGTTGTAAGAGGAACAGGAGAGGTTGTAAGAGGAACAGGAGAGGTGGCGAAGGGAAAAGAAGAGGTTGTGCCAAGGAGAACACCGGAAGTTGTGGTTGGGGGCTCATGAAAAGTTGTGAGGGAACAGGAGAGGTTGTATGGGTGCTCATGAAAGCTTGTGAGGGGAACCAGAGAGGTTGTGGTGTGGGCTCAGGAATGGTTGTGAGGGGAACAGGAGTGGTTTCAGTGGGGGCTAAGGAGAGGTTGTGGTTGGAAACAAGGATATATTGCAGTGGGTTGAGATTGGGTAGATACTGGGGAGATGGTTGAGACCATTGTAGGACCAGGAAAGGGGTTGGTATGGAACCAAGAGAAACACATTCATAAAGTATCATTGTATTATACCACCATTATTGCTAATAGGAGCATCATTTGCCAATATTCGTTCTTCCTTTCTTTATCAGTAGTTTTTCTGACATCACATCTCATATGGTCATTTTGCTTACTTTTTTTGCAGACAAATTTGAAAATACAAATAGCAAAATCACAGCATGACATTGAGGAACTTCGACGAAGAGTAGAAAACACAAAAATGAAATTGACAACCGAGATGAAGGTAAGATGTACAGCATCACATTTTGAGACATTTTCATTATACTTACATACATTTATTATTGGTGTCGTCAACCACTAATCAATGTTAGTAAGACGAACAGTTATGGATTTAACATCTGTTGAAATATATTGCTCCACAGTGCTTTGCCTGCATCACATCATGTGGTCCATAATGCATTGCTGTATATAATTGTCTTCTTCATAATTCATTGCTCTATAATATTGTGTGATCCCATAATGCACAGCTAAACCAGATTGTGATATCCCATGATGCATTGCCAATGTAATATTGATGCATTGCGTCAGTAGACCAGCTCCCATGATGCATTTACAAAGTTATCATGATGCACTACATCAGTTGACAGCTTCCATGATGCTTTGCAAAGCTAATGCGATACATTGTAACAGTTGCATAGCTCCCATGATGCATTACATCATTACATAGCTCTCATGATGCACTGATGCATTGTACATGTAGCAGGTGAAACCTCCCTGATGGATTGTGCAGCCTGAACGGTTGACGAAGGAGATCGTTTCACAAGTTATTCCATATTGAACAATTATTTTGTTAAAGAAACTATTAATATTTTTTGTTTTCTTTTGCTACAGTTACGCAACCAAGCCGAAACTGAACTTCGTGCCCTGAGGGCTGAATTAACACAGAAGAAAATAAACGTCACTCTATCGCGATCTCAACAGCTTGCGGCATTGAAGGAATCAGAAGAAAACTTATCATATATGTCACCAAGAACACCTTTACCATCAACTCTCAGTCCCAGAGTTCAGTAGATTTCAAGTCTGACTGATACAGCATATTACCTGAAATAGTTACTATGAAACTAGTTACTGCTAGATACTATTACTAGTTAAATTGGTTCTGAATGGTTACAATATTTGGATGATATTTTATATTTACATGGATTCATTTACTGGTTTCAACTGATGTTTTTTATCACAACTGTCAGAGACGAACATTGATCTGTTTCAATTTATATTTATTTAGTTTTTTTAGTATACAAAGCATTATTGAAAATTAGAATCTAATACTCTCACTTGTTATTGGCTTGTAGTTACTATATCATATTGCTAGTTACTGGCAACCATTCTTTTTTTTCTTTTTTTGCTGCTGGAAATTTTTGCGATATGATGATTTAATGATAATGAGGACAGAATTTTGCAAAAAGTTGCTGTGACTTAAGACTTGTGTGAAATTTCCACTGCTATGAAAATATTAACCATTATGACATTAGTGTGCAAGATTTGATCTTATTGTTGCTAGTTATCACAGGTTAATAGAAGTTATCGCTGGTGATGAGAGGTTACCACAGGTTAATAGAAGTTATTACTGGTTAAGAGGGGTTACCGCAGGTTAATAGGAAATGTTTCTAGAACAAACTAATGTTTCGTATAGGGACATGATATATTTTAAAATTAAAATCCAGTGAATAGTTGATGCATACTAGTATACAATATTTATTTGGGGAGGGGGGGGGGTATTATATTCTCTTCAACAGCAAGTTGATCAAAAATAGTTGAAATGAAAAAAAGCTAGTTACTTACCTGTAAAGAAATGTTTTTATTTTTCATAAACTTGTATATATGAACAAAAATTGATTATACATTAGTGTGTATAAAATGTATTGATTTTTATCTTGAGATCTGTTCAAGTTGTAAATATGATGATGAGATCGATATTGTTTGTGGATTCCTATTCATTTTTGAATTCCAGGACTGGAAGTTTTTACGCTCTTCAGATGTTTTTTTTTTTTTTATCTTGAGAAGAATGACTAATTAATCAGTAATAACTTTCAAGATATCTGACAATCGACCTTGGTTTAAAAAGTAATGTCTGGCATAACTGTTGTATAGGTTTAATTGATTAAATTTATCACAATTTTTTCTGAAACATGTTGAGAAAATCTAGCCAAAATAGCAGACTATTGTACTGAAAATATTTCACTACTGTCAGTTACTTAAAACTGAAGGTGTCTTTGTGTAAATTTTAAATCTATTTTAGGTATTTAATGAAATAGACAATCAATGAGTATACATGTTTACCATTGTTATTTAGACTGTATCTACCACACAACATTTAAAAGGGATTTTTATCTTATTTTCGTATATTCATAAACTCAGTATTATTGATGGGATTAGGGGGGGGGGGGGTCATTCAATTTAACAGGAAGGAAGATGTTTATATATATATATATATATACCACAGTCAGGGCAAAATTCATGTCTTTATATCTGCCTGAATTTTAATTCATTTGAACTTTGCTATTCTTGGGTAGACATCAGTGTTGTCACCATGTTCTATTTCCTTTCTTAATGTTAGTTTAAATACACAATGTATTTTGGTCGCAGATTTGACATGTATGCATGGCAGCAAGAAATAAGTTAACGTGTTTGTGACTTTCCTTCAGCCAATAGTTGCCATATCGTGTGTAAAGTTTTATTTCTGTGCATTCATTTTTTTATTGAGTGATGTGTCCTGACTGCATATTGCTTTATAAATAGTTAAACGAACAAAAAACAAATTTCAGTCTTTATTGGTGAGTATACTATGATTTTATTCTGAATGAGATGACTTTTTTGTAATTAAACAGTGACTATTAAATAAATTTTATCTCTTTTTGTAAATATATTTTGTAAAATAAACTCCATTGTAATTAATTAACTATTATCAGGCATAAACAAATTAACTCAAACTTTCCTTAAATGTTGCATGTCTTTATTAACTGTTGTAGACTCCATGATTATCTT